TATTAAAATAATAATGTAAAACTAGATAAGTACTTAAGACTGAAAAGGTATTCACGAAATTAAGAATTAAAGAAAATAAAATTTCAAAGAAAAGGAATGGGATTGAATTTACAGACTACGCTGAGCAACGGAATTGCTTAATGGGAAGCATAAGAAAAAGACGTTCGGAAAGACTGCTTTTGCACATCGGTGACGTACCTACGGAGTTTTCGTAAAAACATTCAAATAAATGTATTTTTGCGACCATGAAAATTTCCAAATTACTATGAGTCTACAAACTTTTTATTCGTTATAGGTAAACTTATTGAAAAGCATCTCTACAAACTTTCAAACTGTGCGCCATTTTCAGCTACATGTCGACTTTTCCTCTCACTTGTGTAAGTATTTTTGTATGAGCAACTCATTGCAAATGGTTTCGAATGGATTTTAATGTCTCAAATATTTAGTAACGCGAAAAATGAAGAAAATCAATAACGAGGCGAGGTGGCTAACATAGTTCTCGGGGCCTCAGCATTTCATTGATTCGGCGACTGAGCTTTGAAAGCTCTTTAATCGACTCGAAGATCGCTGGACCTACGATCAGTGGATATCAAAGTCATTAGGAAGTTTATAAGACATTGGCAAATGCACGCTGACTCGCTTGATTTGATGATGATGTTTGCATAATGTTTTGTTCCAAAAAAGTGGATCAAATTATTTTACAGAGTTTTTCAGTTTTAACGTTTCATGTTCCTAGTAATTGAGATCGTATACAAATCTAATTTGGGTAAACTAATTACATGAAATAAATAGATTACCTTTAGTTTGACTGACGTTATGCTGCATTCCGCTTGTTGGCAGTGTATTTGTTACTTTATGTCATTTATGAATATATTCGATATTCGTGTACTTGTTTTCTGAACGCATACACTTAACTGCAATATCTGGAAATTACTTTTGATATTTAGTCAAACTAAATGGCATTCAACTCGTTTCTGTTAACATTAAAATATATTTGCAAATACACACCCACAAGCCGACTTTGAAATTAAAGCCATGCACAAACATTTAGAGCAATTCCCTCCCATTTATTTAAAGAAAAATTATTTTAAAAAGTCGCATTTATAACAAAAAAGAAAAAATAAACCGGTAACGGAAACTAGATACAATTGCAAATGAATAAATTTATAGACATTGTATTGCAAGCATTGGCGCTTACTTTGCAATGACATGAACAGAGAAAGTTTATAAGTGGCAACAACATATCGTTTGTAAATTTTTAATTAGAAAGCTATCAATTAAAAACATAATCACATTTTTTGATACACTTCAGCCGCATCATTATTATCGAGAAAACTGATGCATTCCCAAAAAGGAAGAAAAGAATTACACTTTGCTTAGGTTCAACGTTCTACGATTATCTAGATCTCGATAGGAGATTGTGATGATAAAGACGTATTGGTAGTTACATGAATTGAATATAGCCTCTAGATCCGCTGTAAAACAACTACATGCCTCGCTATCTCACTTTTAGATGCGTGCAAGTGCGAATAGCAAGCTCAAAAATGAATTGATATTTTATACCTAAGAAGAAGAAAAAAGAACTCTTGATTTTTGCTACGCTCGGGAAAACTCCTACATATCTAACTGAAGAATCACATGCATTACTTGTAATACTCAGAAATCAAACAGATTAATAACTTGTAACCATTGAAACAAGCGAAAAAAGCCAAACAAAAGCTGATGCCGTTGAGATGATTTCATTTTAAATTTTCCCTTCCCATTGCATAAAAGCTTGTCAAGGGCAAAATAACCCTTATTTATCTAGAGAACATAATATAACACTTCACTCAATACGTGCGTAGGCTCAGAGTCGCCTTTTTAAGCAATTTCATCATTCAATGGCATGTGATACTAACAATTGAATGTTTGTCTCTTTTGTAGATAACCTACAAATTGATATATGCTGCGCACCAATAAATAAGACTCCGGTCTAACGTGTATTTTCCTTGCATCTTAAAATACGGATGCCGTAAAATTTCCATCCGACATTTACCCTTTTGATCGTCTTAAACGGGTTTCGTTGGTTGCTTTCCACTCGGTTGACTGCCGATTTTACTCTAAAATGTGATGATGAATACATTGTCACTTATCGCATGAAAAGATTCCTTTTCATTTCACCTAAACAGCTCCAATACTTTCGTTGTTTGTAGTCAAATGAGAGCAAACGCGGTACTTACTTCAAATATAACTTTCTCACGGACTAATGTTCATGCAAAATGGTAAAAACACTGCTTTGTGAAACTACAAACGCCGAATTTGGTTCACCATCACCCGTACATGTACGATCGCACTTAAAATCCGCAAACCATTTCACTACCACATGTCCCAAAATAGCGGAATGCAAATAACACATTGCTTCAAGCCATTGCTTTATTTTTTCCCATTAGAAAACAAGCCTTTGTCAATACACGAAGTTCAAGTTTTTCCATCGTTTTGAACATTAGACAGATGACATCACTAAACCAACTACAACTTGTCATGAAATTTTGACATTTCGTTTTTGAAGGTTGCTACCATCTAAACATCATATGGAGTGGCGACATCTATATGCTATCTTATGACTGTACTGAGTGATGTATGAGCATCATTGCTTCAGATTAATTCTAGTGCACTAGAAGTATGCTGACAGGTAGACACAATTTAAGCAAGTTAAACATGTCAGAAGTAGTCTGCAGTAAAAAGAACGGCTGAAAGAATTGTTAAGTTAACTTACCCGCAGATGTACAACATTTCTTTAGAAAAGACAATACCTTCAGATATTAAAGAATTTTTAATTTTTACTATTAATGACACATGTATTTATTCGAAAACGTAACTAAAATAAATTAAATAAGTGGCTTTTAGTGTATTTTTACAATTTAATCTTAACTTTGTATCTTTAGAAAAAACAAGATGACACGAAACTAATTAAGTAAAATTAACTGATTATATACAAATTTTTATTAACGTGTGTTTGATTTCTTCTAAAGTCACTTACACATACTTACTTAAATGCAACATACGAGATTCTCTACTTCTATTCATAATATATTACAAAAGGCGGAGATATGTTCAATGCAACTTACTTTGGAAATGGAAAGAATTTCAAAAAAATTTTGTCGATGACTCGATATTATATTGATTTTGGTCAAAATTCATATGAAGAAATTAAAAAAGTAATTTTTTACATATTAGTATTTCAGCCTTTTCATACTTCTCTATATCTGAAAGTGACGATTAATGAATTCTGTTGGTTCGTCCGGAAACGAGATGCTTCAAGTAAACTGTAAAAACTGATAAATGCAAAGAATTTTTTGTGAACACCATGTGGTGTAAATTGAGAAAATTCAGAGAACATTTCCATTCAAATATGTACATCGTCACTTACCAATATAACCGGTTCTCATCAATGGAAATTATTCAAATTATCTACGCGTCTGCATTTGCACTTATTCAAAATGACAGAACTATGCGCTAGCCTTCGGATACAACAATTTGTGATTCACTTTGTTAGCTATATCTAGGGAGTTGGGTTCAAATAAATTGACGAAATGTATGAGAAAATATATGTTCAAAATGAAGCTCACGGTTATGAGACTCATAAGTGCAGAGGTGTAATCGGTATCGGTTTTCCCCATGTTATCTCATTCTATTTTCATTCTCTGAGAGCTAGCCAACTAGCTGCACGAAGAAGATTAGAATATTCTAAGGTAAAATATTGGAAATTTTTGTAAATACTCTTAAACGGCTTCCAAATATCCCTTCGTAAGCTCATTTATTAAGGGATCTGATATTCAGTCTGCATAATTGCATCAGGTGCTTCGAAAGAATGAAAGTGGCTACGAATGTTAAATAAAGAAGCAGTGGAAAAGTTTGCGAGATAATGACTATCTAAGATACCTTGATTTCTGTCCTCTAGTTTTGGATTGTTCAATGGATTTTCCGAGTCATCATGGTTCTGTAACCAAATTATCGTTGAAGACTTGGCGCGAGCTTAAACTTCTATTACTATTAAAGTTAAAATCTCGTCTTCATAAATACTGCACTTAACAAATACTTAAACTTCTGCTTTCTTACACAAAAAATTTATACAATAAAAGCTTTACTATTTAACCTACCCTGTTTCTGCTCACAGAAGATCTAGGTTTGTAGAAAGTAAATTTATTATCAACATTTTTAAATTAAGCCTATCTATCGCATAGTCAGATGAATAATTTGTAAAAAAAATCGTGTTGTGAAAGATTCTGAAACGTTGTTATATAATTTCTCATGGCCAAGGACAACAAGGTCAGCTTTTTTCCAAATGTCAGTCAACTCAATTGATAAAAAGTCTTTCGATGCCGTTTTTTTCACAAAAGAGATTTGTTCTTCGACCAAAGACTCTGGTTCACGAGGGCGCTCGCCAAACGATTGTTTTAAACAATGTATCGCGCGACCTAAAATCAGCCATATTTTTTGTAAGGACGTATGAGTAGATTGAGCAATGTCCCAAAGGAAAGGCAATATCCATAAGTACCTGTTAGGCGACGACTGATAAGCCATGACAACACTACTATCTATTTTTAAATCTGAGCAAAGTTGCCGTTTGGTTTTTTTGCTGCAGCCTCTGTTCCAGATCCACGAAAAACAGAATAACATTATCTACAACTTTATGTACCATTGATCTTTGAGGAAAAATATTTTATACAAAATTATCCATCTTTTGACTTTGATTAAATTAATTAACTCATTTAAAAGTGGTTTTCACATTTAACAATATTTTATTAAACACACTAAAGGAGAATCTTATTTTAATCATGATCGTTTCACTATAATTTGCTTCGTTCGGTCTTAATTTCCTATATTTACACAAGCTCGCACAGTCGTAGTCCTAACATCATAAGCGTAACACACATGAATATATATATATATATATATATATATATACATATATATATATACATATATATGAATAAGTATAATACATTAAATATATGGCATTAAATTATCTTAAGTTCGTTTAACATCACAATTTTGTTGTTTTCAAAGAGTTATTATTGTACACAATACAAAGTATAAAATTTGGCATACCTGTTGTTAAATTTCTCAACTGTCTGCATTATTACCAGTTACTAAACATTCGCTTAATAATACATTATGTAAATTATCCATATCGATCCAGTCGCGCCGTTCATTACGTATGGAAACATTGCGTATGCAACCTTTAAAGTTTTCTCGTGTTAGCAGAGAACCACTGGAAGCAATTTCTTGAAAAAGAAAAGTTAAATTACAAAGTATGTAAAAAAAAAAAGCGAGAGAGAGAGAGAGGGAGAAAGAAAATTCTCTTTGGCTGGATCTTTAAGACTTTTCAAGCTTAAAAGTGTAAAGGAATAGAAAACTAAGTGCTACCGAATGACCCTTCTATTATGCTTATGACATTTAAAAATGCATATCAGATACCTCGTGATACCTTACACCACCGGTGGTAAGTTTGTGCTTTGTGTTTTGTATGTCACATCCAGACATACATACATTGGCTTTTATTAAAAGTGATGGATTCAGAAACACTTTCTGAATCGATTTCAATATGTCGGTCCGTCCACCTGTTTGATGTCTGCCGATATATATTTGCAGTTCGCAGTTTCTAAGATAATTTAACGAAATTTAGTGCCTTGGTTTGGGCTTGAAATTAGCTCGATTGAATTTTTTATGTCTCTAACGTAGCGCCTTTTGACCCATTCGATGACGTTAATTATAAATTGTGCCCTTGAAATTTTTAATTGCACTTTAATATGGTCGTGGATTAAATAAGTTAGTAAAGTAAAGCAAAAAATAACCTTTCAAAGGATTTCAAAAAATTACAGTTTGAAGAAGATTCTCCCTACACAGATCCCTGAGTAATGGTATTTCGGTGTAGTAAATTGATGTGAAAAATTTGGGTTTATTCGTCCGATGGTTTGAATTTTTACTTCTACAACCGAGCCTACGAAAGGGAGGAAACGGGAAAATGGTTTAATATTCAATATTTGGCAGTGAAAAGCTGCCAACTTTTTGACAGATGAGCCTTTAACTTCGCCTGAATGAAAAGTGTACAATGTACAAGATGTTGCGATCGATTTTCAACACATAATCATGATGTAATTTTTGCAACATAAACGAAATTTGTTGTCTCTTTGCAACTTACCTGGTATACCGCCTATGTAAAGAGGTGATTTAGTTTGTACTTTTCCCACTGTTCTCTGGGGCGATACCGCCATTATTGCAGGCATTTGATCTATGCGCAAAGCTATCTGTTCATCATCGTATAAAGCAGATATATTATGCCATTTATTGTTACACAATGTATACTTATGGGGTAGTAAAGATTCAACACGGAAAGGGTTTCCATCACCCAAATCGCAAGAAAATACAATCTAGGAAACATTATTTTTTAATTAAAGTTTTAAAACGAGAATTGATTCATATAAACAAATGCCTACATTTCCATTGAAAAGTTCCAAAGATAAAGCAGGAAAACCGGTAGGCTCAGATATGCTTAAGAGAATACCCGACAACTCAGATGTACGAAATTCCATTTCAAGTTCCAAATATTTACCAACATGAAAATTTTTTTCTATTCAGAATGTAAATAAGTAACAAGGAGGAAAACGACGAACATTACATTTTGCGAAATTCAATTACATGGAGACATCAACAGCACTTGAACGAATTTCAGAGCTCACAGCCATATATTATCAATAAAATCTGAAAACGTTTTGTCTCCGATAATACCTCACTGTTCACACAAGCGGTATATAATAACCGAAGTAAAGATAAATGATATTCGACTATCATAGCGACAATGTATGGCTCCTTTTATTGAAAATGTTTTCTCTAAGCAATCAATATAAGATATTCTTGCAATTCCCTTCAAAATAGCCGGAACTAGCTTTACTTTACTGATATTACGCCATGAGCACTGACAGAGTTACGCTATTGCTTAGAAATTGCTCCCGCATCTACTTATTGATCTCTTAAGAGATTTTCTTAATACAACGTAAAAAGACAACAACAACTTGAGTGCAGCTTTTGCACTAGCAATATGCCAATGTAATTAAAAGAAGCTCTTTCCCTCATTTGAAACTCTGCAAGTGCTGTAGATGCCTTTCAAGTTTGAAAGCACAACTTACTATATACGGCATAGGCGTCACCAGGAAAGTAGGAACCTCGTTCTACTTTCGGGAAGCATTGACCTACATGTAAATGTTTCCCAGGCTTTGCCAAGTCCTGTGTACTGTTACCTATGAGAAAACGCCGTAAGCAACCCTTAAACGGTTCTAATTTCATTAGAAGTTCAGTAGGCATTTTCGGTGGATTCTCCGGCAAACCACCAACAAGAACATGATGTGAAGCTGCAATTTTCTTTGGTATTTTCATTTGCGCGGATGTTTTTTGATCTGTACGACCAATCTCTACCGACATGGTGACCTTACGATCTTGACATTGCAGTGTAACATGATGCCATTCCCCATCATTTAATTTGGCATGGAGAGGTAACTCTTCACGACGTCGACCGCGCACAATCAATAATAAATGACCGTCTTTAAGAACCAAAGCTAAATAATGCTTATGCTTCTCTTTAAGGCCAGGCGCTAAAAATATCAATCCGTTCGGATAAAAGGAACGAAAATCGAAAGAAATTTGAAAATTCTTTTGCCAATAGTTGCGATAGACACCCTGCAATTGTGCATAACTATACGGTTCATCACCAAATTTGAAAGCGTTCGGTTCATACGAATAGCTGCCAACCTGTAAACAATGTAGAAGTTTTCCAAAGATAAATTAGCGAAAAACAACACTTTCGAAATGCTGGAAACAAATTTATGAAAATCATTCGTGAGAATGATATCATTGTCTCATTTCATTACCTTTTTGTGTTAGTTTGAGCTTTTTTCCTTTTAAATTATGTATATATTAAAACCAATGAGTGATCATGTTAATTTTGATGCAAAGTATAAAGAAACAACAAATCGCTTGATCAGTTTTTGATTTTAATAAAATTATGTTTTATTAAACGAAAAGGATATTTTAAAAAATTTAGAATAAATTTAAGAAAAACTATGTTTCTCTGTCTCGTGTGGTCTATGAAAATGAATGAAAGAATACATTAATTATGAGAATTATATATAAAAAGCTAAAACACCCACAAAAAGCAATGTGATGATGAATGGGTTAAATGCAATTTCGTTAACGTATGTATTTATGATAATATTTACAAAAACATTTATATAACTACGTAAAATTGATTTTAGCCAAGACCACAACCTTTAGAGCCGTACATACATCACATTAATTACATTGATGATAAAATATGAATAAAACTTAATTAACTAATTGTTAATATTGCCATTTAAGGTTTGCTTAAGAACAAGTTATCGACTGACAAATTTTTTTATTTAGTTTGTTGACGCCCTTATGATTATATTAAAAACGTTTTCTTAAATACGCATCACTATAGTTAGCGACTTCCTCCACAGAATTTATATTAAAGTCTTAATTAAAATTTACAACTCACCCTCTTACATCCTTCTGGTGCGGCCGTAAAACTTTTACCAATCATCGGTTCTGTCTTTAAGAGAATGTCATTTAATCCATTTACACTACCCATAATTGGACCGTTGCGTCCTATTTGAACATTAGCAAATCTTACAGCCTGATTAAAGTTTAAGGTACGATTATTAAAAACAACGTCGCGTAATGCCCCCTCTAATTTTGTAAAGGTCGGAGCCAAAGGTATATATTCTTCATAAGAGGGAGCACCGCCTATATATAAGCCGCCAGCATCACGCGGCATACCTACAACAGTTGGCGAGCCCATCAAATTTTTGCTGTCTTGTGGCTCATCATCAACAATTAGCTCAAATTTTCGACCATTCTTAAGCAAATTGACCAAATGAAATTCACCGTCATTTAAAGTAACGTTCGATAGTAATTTTATCAGGCTTCGACCGGAATTAATCCACACGTGGAGGTGGCCACCAATTAAACTAACGGAATAATTGCCTTTAATATCTTTACTGTCGTAATCATCTTGAACTTCGGGCGGATAGGCGGCAAGCATTAGCAAGCAATCCTTCTGTAAAGTACGAAAGACGAATGCAGTGCTCGCACGTTTGCGTAAAGACTGAGAAGGCATCTCCAAGTAACCTTGACCTATAAATCCAGCTCTAAAAGAGAGAAAAAAGGTAATTAAAAAAAAACAAAAAAAAAAAAAAATATAACACTTTAAGCCCAAACATACTTGGTAATCATTTCCTTACAAGCCGGCTCTACGCCATAAAATGTGGAACTTTCCAGAGGATCATAAGTTTCCCCATTGACTTGCACATCCATCATACAACCTAGGAATGGATTATCAGCCCCAGGTGCTTTCGAGGTACCCGAAGTAAAGCCAGGCGGCACACCACCTAGATAGTAAATCGGTTTCGAAAGATCAGGTAGCATGTGACTCTTGATAGGCACTGTAGGTGAACCGGTTATAGGTCTTTCGTTATTTACTCGTAATATGCTATTTTCTGTACCCCGTTTGGGCACAAATTCGCGAGCCGCTTCAATTCTAACCCATTTCCCGATATTATACTTATTGGTGGTATTAATTTCCAATTTCGATTCATCGCCATAATCTATGCGAAACAAAATACGACCTCGACTGAGAGTAACTGATACAGAGCGATTCTACAAATATAGGTAACAATGGTATAATTATATAATTTCGTGCTGTGCTTGTTGGGCACGGCTAACTTACATTCTTTTCATCAACCGCTAAAAAAAGCAAAGCGTTCTCATCTAACGTTTTGAAAGTCATTTGCAAAGCAAACAAATTCTTGCGATAGGGTCGTGGTCGAAATTTTTTCACTTCCGCGTAGCCGATACCGTTGAAATGTCTAGCTACCGACGACGAAGTAGATTCCTCGGCTCCAATCATTGCACCTGTGCATTTCCCATCGCTGCTCGCAAAATTCCAAAGACCCACTGGTTTGTCATCAATCTCTACCTTGTGGATCACCACATTTAATCCCGAACTAAATGGCAAATCTTTTGTGCGTATAAAATTTGGATAACCTCCTATATATGTGCGTTCTTCAGGAGTTTGAAAGAATCGAGTAAATTCCAAGTCAGAAGAACCGATAACCGGATTTTGAGGTATGAGCCTGCCATAATTACTCATGCGTCTGACCAGCAAAGTCCCTACATTAAGCGTACGATTGGCTTCAATGTGATACCAGGCGTCATCTTCTTGAAGTTCCCGAGTTTGCACTTCCAAAGGATGTGTTATAATTGCTGTCGAACCACCCAAATTCCACAATAATCTAACGCGACGCTTGAAAAGATCCAGAGCTATATACCGACCGTCCATGCCTTGAAGATATAGGAGAGGCGAGTTACCGTTGCGGTTGGTTAAAGCAAAACTTATCTTAATATTATTTGAAGTTGTTAAACCATAGGAAACGGGCAGAAAAGATTTCGTGCATCGAACGTCTCCAGACTGCACCGATATCTTAATTCCTTCAGCTGCGTGTTTCGCTTTGGCAACTATATCACGTAGCTCTTGCAACTGCAGACCCATCGTATTATTCCACTCATCAAATCCTGCACGTTCTTTAGAAGCTTGCTGTTCAATATATGACAAGGAAATGTTCGCCAAACGTATGTTCGTTTTAGTTAGCGAAATATTTTCCTCGGCCATACCCAATTTGATTTCCCAGTCTGGCTCCAATAAAAACATTGTGTCACGCAAATTCAAAATATTTCGATGCAAATCATGAGTGCGCCGTGACACCACGCGCATATCTTCACTAATTTTTATGGCAATGTCTAAGCTTTCAGAAGCTATTTTACGGGCCCGAGAACGCTGTAAAGGCTGCACTTGCGACGATATGTTGTTAGTACGTACTCCAGCTTCCATTATACGTGATTTAATGGCTTCTACCTTATCTTCATGAGACTTTAAACGTTGTTTCAAAGCTAAAGGTTGATTAACATCACAATCTGAGAGAATTTTTCTGCTTATATTCATCTAAAGCCTTTACCTTTTGTATCTTTTATTTCCTGCATTGCATCATTCTTTAAAACATTAGATTTCTCTAAAGACATTTTGGCCCGCTCAATTACGGAGATATGCATTTTCGGATACAATTTATTCTCGGCCGCGTACACTCTTTCTTTAGCCTCGAGAGAAGCTTGACGGGCGGCTTCTATAGCGTCCGAGATGTTTTTATGAGCCGAACTTTTTTCAAAAATTATTCAATAACTTTTCTATTTTGAAAAAAAAGCTTACTTACCTAGCTAACATAGCTATACGCGCACCATTTCTGGTGGGTTGAAATTGTCTTGCATATTCATTAGACCTTTCCCACAAACGTACAGCGTGCTTCTCGGACTTGGGTAGCCAGTGTTTACGTACTTCACGGTATACAGTCTCAATCTCATCCAAGCTATTGTTCAACATATTTCTCAGTTTAGCTGTTTTATCTAATATTCCACTCACTTGCTCTAAACGCTCCACGTTCAATTCAATTACCACTTCAGTTTGTGGTCTAACATTTTGTTGCAGTTTGTCTTCCACATTCATATTTAGTTCTTTGATTTGTGCATAATCGTCTAAAGCTAAAGTTTTCAAATTTCTTATATGTTCCAAAATGTCGTCTATCTCAGTTTGTTTGTCTACTGTACGATCAGCTTGTAGACGCATATCAGAAAGACGAAAATTTGTGTGGTTCAGGTCGCGCCAAAACATTTCAACTTTAGCCTTTTGATCGTAAGCTGAATCGGACGCATTGCCGAAACGGTAGAAGTAATGCCAAGCACAAGAAGTCGCCGTACGAATTGTTTCCAACGAATTGCTATGTTGTTTCACCGAGTCCAAATAGAAACGGGCTTGCTGAAGAGCTATCGGTAAACTCAAATGATAAGCTTCCGAGCCATAATTATCAAGTCTAGTGACACTCTCTAAAATTCCAGCCTTCAAGGCTTCTATGTCTACATAGAGTACAGTAGCATCGCGAAGAAGAATAGAAATTGCTTCAGAACGTTTCTGGGCGGTAGCTAATGTTTTACGGTTTTGAAATTTTTGATTTTCGGCATGAGCATCTAATTTAACCAAAGCTTCAGTATCGTAATTCATCAACAATACACGGGCATCATTAAAGTCGTGATACCGTACGTTTAAGGCATTAAACTGCTCTTCGTATTCTTCAACTTTTAGGTAAGGGGCGGGTATACCAGTTAAATCCATGTTATGTAAGCCGCGTCGCAGCTTATGATCTATCAACTGTATGTAATCCAATAACAGTAAGGTGCAATTATCGCATACTACATTTCGTAACGCAAGTAACACAAGAGAAATATAGAGAGGCATGGATAATAAGAGTGCTTATTAGGACTTCTTTACAAGCTTAAACTTACATCTACAGCCATTTTCTTCCAGATGGTACCGATTTGCTAAACATTTATCACATTTAAGGCCTGTAACTCCATTTTTACAAAAGCACTGACCCGTTAAAGAATCACAACCGTCCCTACTTACGCCTTCTAAGTGACAGTTGCAAGGCTCACAAGTACTATTCAGAGAAAACATTGGATTGCCAAAATACCCAGGACGGCATCGGTCACAAAGTTTACCAGTATAACCAGGACGACATATACAACTAATTTCTCCTTGCCAGACTGTGCAACCACGAGCGAAATTGCGACTAGTTTCAGGGCAAGGGCAAGGTTGGCAACCATGTATTGATGCAGGATCACCATAATAACCATCAGCACATTGCTCGCAATGGCGTCCTCCTGAATTGTTTTGACAACTCTAAAGCACAAAGCTTTATTTAAATCGAAAAGTTTTTCTTTGTTTTTCCTCCGTAAACATACCATGCATTCACCTGTTTCGCGATCACATATTGAACTGCGGCCATTGCATTGACAGGGTGCCGCCCGTCCAATTAGATCTTCAATAAAGCTGGTGTCTGTTTCCGTAATGTTGCGCCATCTATAAAATCCCTGACTCGGATCTTGACAAGATAGACCATCGTAACGTTTCGGACAAATACATTTTTCTACACCTTTTGCTATCATACTGGTGGATCCATGAACATAAATAGCCGTATCCATGTGAACATTTTGTAATCTTTTTCGAAAAATTTTTATTGAGACCTCTTTATAATTCATACATCATACTCGACATCATATACTTACATAACCTCCGTAAAATCAGCGAAACAGGAACCTCTAATAAATATATGCTTAACATTTTGTAGAGCAGCCATCATGATTGGCCTATCTACTATTTGTCCATTGTGATGTAATTTCCAATAGGACTCGTGTAAAGTTACCTTATGCGTTATATTTCGCGAATATTCAAAACTGTCATATTCGTAGAAGTCCAAAATCAGCTTTTTATGAGCATGTAACTGGACCAAAGGATATCTAAACAATACTTTCCGCTCCAAAGGAGTATTTGCCCCCTCCGTTAGTAAGGTAAAATAAAGATTACCACCGTAACTATTGGTGCGATCACCATAGAATTGAGGAGGCAGTTGAAAGTAGAGAGGATAGTACAAATTGGTGTAGCTACCAATGCTTACATTTCCCGTAGATTTCGGTACCAAATTCAAACCATTTACATGTTGAATATCCGCATCTTCTCGATACATATTACTACCGGCCATCTGTACCACCACTATGTATTCAAATTCCGAGGTAGTAATATGTGAACTATGCAAATACTGAACACTAAGATTTCGTGATTCGGCCATGCGCACATGACCCCACGACCAGTCGCTTTGATCACACTCAGCTGATCGACCAAAACAATAACACCTCGTGCAACCTTCGGGATTCAAAGAGGATAACCCGAATGTGGATTGCATACAGGTGTCACATTTTAAGCCCACCACCAAACTTTTGCAAGGACATTGTCCATTGGCGTCACAAGCTATTAAGCCGTCCGTGCGAATAAATGAACCGTCTATATCACAGTTGCAGCGTCGGCACTCCGGATAACCGAAATAACCCACAGCGCAAGTATCGCATTGTCGGCCGGCGTAACCTTCCCGGCACTGACATTGTCCCGCAGAGGGTTCACACAATTGGCCTATTGATCCAATATGATCACAAAGGCACTCGCGACAACCGAGACGAACTTGCCAACCCCAAGTACCCGGCATACACTGAGTGCAACCCAAACCTTTAGTATTCTGTGGACACACACATCGTCCATTTAAAGCGTCGCAGACTTGACCCTCCCCTGGACAAGGAGTACAGCGTTGACAACCTTCACCAGAGAAACCAAAAAACCCGTCCGTACACTCATTACACCGTTGGCCACCTACTCCAATTTTGCAATCACACTGACCTGTCCATGGATTGCATTCGTGACTCCTTGAACCAGCCGCATCGCAAAGACAATCAAGACAACCGACATTTTGTGTTAGATTCCAATGACCAGACTTGCATTTATCACAACGCCGTCCGGTAACATTATTTAAACATTGACACTGGCCACTACGTTTGTCACAGACATTTGAGAGTGATCCAAGAGAATTGCATTGACATTCTGCAAGTTGAAAAATCAATTTTTTATTAGAAATTTATTTTAAAAAATTGGGAAAAAAATTGAATTTAAAAAGTTTTTAATCAATTGTTGAAACTTCTTCTTTAAATATTTCACATAAATTCCTCTGCATATACTGGTTTTGCTAGAATATACCGATCATATTAAGTCTTCTTGGTTTAACGACTTTTGTGTGGCAATTCCCAAAGTCCGAAAAATTAAGACACAATGGTGATATTTGAAAATATGCGAAATTTTTCCGTCACTTCAGAAAATTACCGTAAAAAGTGGACTACATCTGCCCGCAACGTGCAAAAATCTGGAGCAATTTCGAAAAAAACGTTATGTTTAAAGAATTTTTTAGTTTAGTGGTAAACCATTGGGCCAATTTAAGAGTAGTAGATCCTCATCTTCGATAGAAGATATTTACGCCTCTTTTTAAATCGTAGTAAGATTGTAGTAAGATCGCGCATCCATCCGCGAATGCTTCTTTACGTTTTGGGTATTTAGCTGACGTCCGCCAATATGCGTATTTTTTCACATTTATTACAAGAGCCTTACGAAAGACTAACCAATTCTTTTACATCCAATATTTCGTAATTAAGATTCATAATGACATGCTGGTGTTTGTAGGGTCCATATTAGAGCCTTCAAACGAAATTTTTGTTCATACCTTACGCGTGTTCATACCTTAACTTATAACTTATCTATGAAATAATTCCAATCAAGAATCAATCCGGAAGAATATCTTATTTCGTAAGGCCGGTTGTTTCCATTTTGAATTACATTGTGAGTTACTCAATACAATAAATATATTAAAACATAATCTTAAGCTTATTAGAAAAGGTTCCTACGTACGTAGCGCTAACCATTCTTAACATCGTTAGGCCTATTTTCTAGCTTGGAATGTAGTAGGGTTATTAATAATCATTAAAAACAAAGTCATTACATGAAACTTCTCTATTAATTAAAACCAAGTTAGGCAAAAAGAGAATCCTGGTACATCAGGGTAGAGTATGGACAATCAAAAACATCCCTGCAATGATTGAATTAAAAAAATGACAGAGGAAGTGAAGATAAATTCGAATTTAACAAGCAAAGACACCCACCAACTCCCTTAACAGAGCTCTTTTAAACGGTCTAATAGAACTCGATAATCGACCTAAAGAAACTCTGTTCAGCAGCTAACACGAATAGAAGGTTCGCATTGGAAAATTTTTCGCGTCCAAATTAGGAAACCTAAGATATTTTTGAGGGCCCCTCATAAACCTATATGAAAATAGTATGCAAACAACCTGAGCACATTCAACTTTTGCTTTCCGGAACTATTTTTAAAAAACTTTAGAAATTTGGTAGGCAAGTATAAAGCGCCTAAATTATCCACCCGCAGCTACTTTTGCAAAATTGTCGTGTGTTAAACGTCTCCTTTTATCAAATAAACAAGCTGCAGCAAAACCAGGTGAGAACTTTAGAGTGTCCCAAGAAAGTAACTTCAAGAATATATAACGAAATCCTTGGAAATAAAAATACAGGCAACAAGTAACCTAACGGTTTTTACCTTTATTGAATTTAAAAAAAATATATAAATATATGCCATTAACTTTCGCGTTGTCACGTTAACGTTAACTTGTGAAGGAATCGATTCCAGATTTGGTCGATTTTTCAAATTTTATTGATAAATAAAATCGTTAATCGACGCGTTCTACCTTCAATATGACTTATATATGTTTGAATTACATTGCTTTAGTTTAAGTAAACAACTTTACTAACAGTATTTAAAAATTAAAATAACAATAAAATTTTCTCAAAGAACGCCAACAACTTGACCTTTACACCTACACAAAAAAAAAAAATTCTTTTTTTTTCCGAAATTTAAATACAAAATACATCGTGCCGCACTAAAAGTAGACAACAACAAAAAAAAAAAAAAGTTCATTTACTCTTCATTTGCCAACATAAACATAAACATGTCAAAAAAGCGAAAGTCTGATAAATGTATTAGAAGAAACAGCATGAGCTGCTTTTTTCTTCTACTTCCAAGCAACCCACCGAGTCGATCACGTTTTTGGCCAAACCAAGAAGAAATAGAAAGAAAAATGTACCAGACATTAAAAAAAATAAAATAAAAATAAAAAATAAAAATATAATAATAAGAAGAAAATTGCAACAATAACAACAACGACAGTTGAAGGAACTCTTATTGAGTGTGTATGGGCAGCAGCAACGAGTGGCGAATATGTTGCAATGTGCGAATTGACGAGGAGACCAGAAAAAGAAAGAAAGGCAGCAGCACACGGCAAATGCATTTGCGGTGCTTAACTTGAATTCATTTGCATATGACAACGTTGTGCAGAATAAAAAATAAAAATTAAAAAAAAAAAAGAAAAAAAAAAAAAGCAACAAAAAAACGACAACAGGTACACGACGACAAACGACGGATCAGACAGGCATAAAAAGTGAGGCAGGCGTAAGTGTGTCGCTCAAAAATATATATATATATATATATATATATATATATCTACATATATATATGTATGTAAATATATACATGAATGAAATTGTCGGTTACTGTGACTGGGCAGCAGTTAGTTAGTGGCGTCTGAAAAACTAACCGTAAATAAAAAAAAACATTTAGGCCTCAGAAAGACTACTAACAAAAACAACGATAACAAAGCGGACAAAAGACGCCAAATTGACTGAGGCTTTATCGAATGAGCCAACTTTAAAAAAGCGGGCTTTCAACTATAAAAATGAAATAAAAACAAAAACAGATAGACAACATTTTTGAATGGGTCTCAATTATTGATGGTAAAGTATACTGGCTAACTTAATACAGGCAATGTAGGCGCTATAAAAAGTTTCATTTTGATGAAATGGATAGAAAAAAAATGAAACAAAAATGAAACAAAAACAGTTGTTCAGTCATTTCTAAACAAACAAGAAAGCAGTTATATGGTATAACTTTCGGCCAAACGTTCGTCATATTCGTAAGCTATGAACGAATATATATTGGTTAGGTATTTGATGAAAGAGCTTAATTTCAAGACATAAAATAAAAATAAAAAACTTTGCTTCAATAGGACAGAAGCAATATAAAGCACAAATACTTGAAAAATATTTTCTCTTCCGTTTTCCTTAATGCATGCATTTATGTACAAGTGAAAAAGTGATAAATAAAATTTCGAAAAGTATAAAATTGCAAAAGACCTAACACATTAAAAGTTAGGTTTGAACACACCAACGTTATTAGCATAAGTTTAAAATGAAGCGTCGTAACAGGAGACTAGAGTTGTAATAAACTTTTGGCAGACGATTTCAATGTACTCACAAACTCACACAACGCTTAAATTCATAAAAATCGTCATAAACTAGTCCGTCAAGAAAGCACGCATATATATATATAAGCTCATAAACGACGACATAAACAATTGTTGTTAGCATAAAAAAGAAAAAAAAGCATCCAATCGTTTGTAGGCAAAACTGTTTATAAGTAAAAAAACCAACATCATTCATCCGACAAGAAACCATTCAAGCCGAACACACATAAGCCACCACAAGCATGAGCAACAAGAGTAACCAGTCTGGTCACAACAATGCCAACAACAATAACAGCAACTATTTTGCATATATATATATATATGTATCAATGTTATTTTTCTGGCGTTTACTTTATTTGCTTCATATTTTTTTTTGTCTTTCTTTTTTTTATTTTTTTTTCTTTTTAAATATATTTGAGCAAATAATCAGAAAACGGAAAACTTAAGACCACATAAACAACGGAAACTCAAATTCAGACTTTTAGTGGGTCGTAAGTAAACAACAACAGCAAATAACAAAATAGTTAGTGTTCGCCTACATTCACCATGAATTAAGCACGTCGTACTCATAAAATTACAACGAAACTTATAACTAAACCACCAACACATACATCAGATTTCATTCATAAAAATTTTTAACGGTAAATAAAATAGAATCGTTTGAATGACGTCTGCTATTTTCTGTGCATACAGGCTCTCTCTTCGCTAATTAAACTTCAAATATTATTTCTAATAACGCTTTAATCATCAACGACAATATTATTTTTAGATAATAGATCGATTTCTTATTTTTATTTTCATTTTTCAATGTTTTCGTTGCATCATTGAACTTCAAACAATATCCCATATTACTTTTCTCTGTGTTACGTCTTCCAAATAAACTCATAAAGCGTGCGGTTTTTGTCATATCATTTGTAACACGCCCTAAAAATTCTGCCTATAGTTTCATTTTTTCTTAATTTTCATATCCTTATAATGACAAGAGTTGTGTTGATTAGATGAGATAAAAATATATTGTTCAGCTTTTGCTATTGTAGGCGATGCGGTGGAAAACGATTCGCAGAAAACTTCTTTTCATATAAATATCATAACATTTTTTTTTTGGATTTAACCAAATACATTACATTATAGTGGAACGCCGCCCACCATTAAATACTCTACACCACTTTGCTTAATACATCAGTTACTCATATAACGACTTTTCAAAGAGAGGATGGGAAGTGCTCGAAAAGGCGGCCCAATTCGAATCATTTTCAATAGCATTCGTCCTTGTGTCAAAACATAATCCAATATCGTAAAATTTCCATCGATAGGTTGGAAAAGAGAGAATAAAAAGGACAGATGGATAAACAAGCTTAGAATGATATTCTAAATCAATCGATATAATAAGAGATGGGTCTAACTCAAATTCTTCTGAGTGTTGCATACTGCATGCACAAGTAGTCATATTGGATATAAAGACGAAAAGAATGCTTTTTTCAATTCATTCATTCAGTAACGGTCGGGGTAAAGTGTAGCCAAAATCTGCTTTTGTGTTATGTTATATTAATTTTTGTCGTTTTTGCTTTTCATAAAAATCAAGTTTATCAGCATATATATTTTAGCCTGGCGGATGCAGTAAGCGCCGCATTATGTACTGTTATTTCTACTTATCGTTAAATGTTATTGAGCTCCATTCGCTACTGA